CCTCCTCAGTCCAGATATGGTCACTTCCTGTTCACTGGTTGCAAGAAAACCAAGATGGCGACGGCCAAATCGCTTCGAAACATCAGTCCACAAACCAACGGGTGACGTCACGACGACTACGTCCACTTCTTACATACAGTCTTTGAGAAATACATCAGATCACCCCAGTTTTAATGCATTGCACTGGTGTGTGTGTGTGTGTGTGTGTGTGTGTGTGTGTGTGTGTGTGTGTGTTAGGGAGCGGCTCAGTGCATAGTCAGCATACGGGGGTCGGGGAGTTGTTGGGAAACACGCGGTTCTGGCACGGAAAGGACTACTGCAACTTTGTGTACAAGGACTGGATTCAGCTGGAGAAACCGTTCGATGGTGAGAACACCGTCACACTCACAGTTTACGGAGAGAACAGGAGGGAAGAGAGAGAGATTTATTCCACTCACCCGTCCTCCTCCTCACATTGTAGATTTCATAGACAGACACACGACTCCCAGAATGCCCTGGCACGACATCTCCTCGGTGGTTCACGGGAAAGCAGCTCGGGATGTGGCCCGACACTTCATCCAGCGGTGGAACTTCACTAAGGTCAGAGGTCCTGCTTCTGTTGTCTCGTCACCCTGATTCTATCCTAAATGATTAAAAGTATTAATAATAATTGTTTCCATGAGACATTAGTGTCACAGTTGTTACTTTTTGTGTACAGCCCTTTCTTTCTGAAGGAGAAGCTGGTATCTAGCACCAGACTATAGCGTTCAATTAAACTGATATTGATTCTTTTAGGTGTCTAAAATACGTCCACAGCAGTACATTGATTTACTCCGACCCTTTAAATAATCTCGCTCTGGACAGAAATGATGAAATTAAATATGTGGAAGAAGCAGAAGATACCTGGAATAAAGTATAGAGTGTTTTATTTTCTCTGACTCTGCAGCCCACCACGTCGCTGTCTCCAGTAAATTTGTGACCCGTGTTTTGATTTTTCCTCTTTGTCTTCCAGCTCGTGAAGCCGAAGTACCGTTCCCTGTCGTACCCGTACCTGCTGCCCAAGTCTCACACCACGGCCGGAGAGCAGCGGTACCAAGTCCCCAACTGCATCCAAACCAAAGTGCAGGTCGGTGCTTGTTGCTTTTATTTTAGCACGGCTGACTTTAAGACGCCCCTTTACATCCTGCAGCTCATCCTCACTGTGGTTTCAGCTCTGACCTGCACTGGAAGAGGGTTTTTAAGTGTGCAGTGTAAATCTGGTGTCCCACAATGCAATGCACCAAGGAAACAAAGCTTCTCACGGCTGGAAAAAAAATGAAAACAGATTTGGCGAGATGAGTTCAGGAGGTTCCCAGAAAACCAAAAAAAGTGGTTCAACACTTTGCTTTCCTCTTGTTTAGTTTTGTTTTCAGAGACATGTTGTCTCGTCACCTTTTTATGAATTTATTTCTGTTTATTTGCACTTTAGAAAGTAGAAATCGTAAACAAGTTAGAACATTGTGCAGCAGAGGTTGTAGATATCGAAAGTCATATTTGAAAAAAAACAAAACAATAAAGAGACAAACGACAGATTTATAAAAATGTACAAATGACAGAAGTTTAAGATTACAAGTTGAGATACAAGAAAATGTGTGAAGTGATATAAACAGCTGCTACTTTAAGTTCTTTTCAGATGTTTTTGGTACAAAAATCATAAAATACAATCTTAAACTCTAAGTACATAAAGTACAGATTAAGTATATTATATATATTAGTGTATGAATGGTAGTTGTTGTGTACTCTCACGTTTCTCAAGACTCAAACACAAACATCCAACTTTCCTCTTTGCAAAGTTTTTGTTTTCACGTTTGTCTTCCTGTCGTCCCTCCCAAACTCTCTCTCTCTCTCTCTCTCTGTGTCTCTCTCTCTGTGTCTCTCTCTCTCTCTCTCTCTCTCTCTCTCTCTCTCTCTCTCTCTCT